GAAGTGGCTTAAGCTTCTCTGTGCTGTGCTTTAACCCGCTGCGCCACCAGGGAGGGCCTGGCTCTTTGCTTTAATCTCATTGCTCTGGTTCTCTCGCACAGATGACTCGACAGTAAATATGTACATACTCCACTCGGGAAACAGCCTCATACGGATCCAGGTAATGGTAAACACTCGCATCTTTACGTTCTCAGCCTCCAGTGTGTATTTAGTTGCAGGGCTGTTTTTATAGGAATAGATAGAGAAACACTGTCTCTTAGCTTACGGAAGCCCGTGCCCCCTGTTTAGACCAGGGCAGTCAGCACGCCCTTCCGAAAGTCACAGACACAGCTGCTGCTCTGTGGCTCCAGCCTGAGGCAGACATCATTTTCACAGCGTTGACTCAACCTGGATACCTGTTCTTCCCCGAGAAAGTAGTAACGCAGCTTTCTTTTGTTTTAGGATGTACGTCACTCCTCGCAGAGGGAAGCTCTGTCTCTGCAGTTTGAACCAGTTCTCCTCCCTACTTCTACAACAAACTTTACAAAAATTGCCTCTTTTACTTGCAAAGGTACAGATTTTTCAAATATTGGCGGTCATCTTTTAATTGTTGTGTTCGAGTTATTTATTTATTGTATGCAATGACTTGCAACTACAGATCAGGCTTGCAGAACAGGACTGGGTTTGGTCCAGCCCCACAGTCTTGGTGTGAACTGCTTGGAAGGAAATATGGCTGTTGATGCCACTTGTGTGCAAGTGCAAAGCTCATTCACTCATCTGGTGATTTAAAAGACCAGAACAAAAGACCCGTTAGTGGAGGGGCTGCCTCGTTTTTCTGTGCGGAGTGCAGAGGGCCTGGGACACTGACCCTGTCCTAGCCCTGGCTTCCTGCTGGCCATTGAAGGAGTTCTGCATGGACGTGGGAATGCATGCACCACACCTCCGCCCCACAACTTATATTTTAGGAAATGCAAGCTAAAGCCTTTGGTGCTGGTGCTGGATTGGAAAAAAAAAATAACACTTTTTCTAAATTTTTTTAAAAATTTATTTATGCATAGAAGAACTGCGGTAGAGGCCAGAGGTGTGGGGTGGGGTGAGAGCATTCACCAGAGACAAAGTGGTGAGCAGAACTGGAGGACTGACTGAAATAACTACTGAGGGGAGCAGTGGGAGGGACAGGAGAGGTCTGCTGCACCGTGTGGGTCAGCTCCCTGGCTGGGGATCGAGCTCGTGCTGTAGCAGCTGGGGATAGCTGCACAGTGCAGTTCTCTAACCCGCTGCGCCACCAGGGAGGGCCACTTTTTCTTCTTTTTTTTCTTTTTTTAAGATTTATTTATTTGTACATACAGAACTGGGGTACAGGCCAGAGGCTCAGGGGCGGTGAGAGGATTCACCAGAGACAGAGTGGGGAGCAGAACAGGCAGATCGACGAAGTACACTGCTGAGGGGAGCAGCGGGCGGGTCAGGAGAGGTCTGCCACGTCATGTGGTCACCTCCGGGGCAGGCGGGAATCGAACTCATGTGGAAGTGGCTTTAGCTTCTCAATGCAGTGCTTTAACCCGCTGCGCCACCAGGGAGGGCCCTTTTTTCTTTTTTTTTTTTTTTAAACAAAAGCTGAGACATGCTCTCGGAGTATAAAGTGATACAAACTAGAAATGTCAGGTGCATAGGTCTGAATGCACCCCAGTGCCTCCCTTTATTTCTAGCAGCTTATCTGTAGAGATACTCATAGAAATGTCCATCACTTGACAACACAATGGTGTACACATTCGCGGATTAGCTCAGACCTGCAGGTGCCTGCTCTGCAGCCGATCGGGAGGGCGGCTGAGGGCGTGTGAGCACCCTGCACGCACGAGCCACCGAGGCCGCTGCGCTTGTGCATGCAGCCTGAAGGCTGCTCGATGCTCTGCTCACAGTTCTTCTGTCTCAGGTCATTGGGAAGTCAGGTAGACGTCATCTTTACAGCTTTTGTTAGTGTTTGAATGTGGGAGAAGCCATCTGTAGAGTTTATAAAAGAGAGAGCTGGGTGTTGGTGTCAGTTAGACTTCAGCACCAGAAGTGTAATAGTGTGACCCAGCACAAGCAAAGCTTGCACGTGCTTTTGGGGTGCAGGCTGCCTGTGACCTCAGCTGCCTCCTTGCCTTCGAGGTTCTCCCTTCTTGCTCAAGCCAGCTCCTGTCCCTCCACCCCGTCCAGCTCAGTTTCTGTTTTCATTTTTGGCACCTTAGCAGGCCTAAGGTTCTCCGCTTATTTATGGGGGATACAGATCTGTGTCAAAGGAAAGCCACAAAGTGTTGACTCCCCTCCCCTCCCACTCCCCAAGACAAAATGAGAGGTTGGTTAAGGAGAGGGGAGGGGGTCATTCGCAATCAGCCAGGAAAGAAGAAAAACAGATAGGAGAGTTGAGAATGGATTTTACTATTCTTAGCTGATGCATGTTTTTTTTTTTAATTAAAAAGTTTATTTTTACATCATTTTGCACATTTTTTTTTTCATCTCAATTGTAATCCCCACGGGGCTGATGCATGTTTTTAATGGATGGAGACAGAGTGCAGTAATTAGGAAGTTACGAATAAGACCTAGATCTCGCTTTTATTCAGGCGTAAAGAAAGGCACGCTGCTAACCCTTCACTTGGGTTTCTCTGGCCTTCAAACAGCTGCATCCTGTGACAGTGGAATTAAAGATGTGAAGAGAACCAGAAGCACTTCCCCGCTCAGAGCCTGCCTCTCCTCGCCTGTGGTTCATGGGTAAGTTCAGTGCATTTCCTAGAAATGGGTGTTTTTCCCTTTTCATCTAGGAAGGATTTAACATACACTGACAAGACTGGACCTGCCTTCCCAGCACAGCTACCCGGCTAAGGAGGGGCCTTCTGGGGGTGGGAGCCAGGCCCCCAGGCAGTTTCGTTTGTGAAGTAGATTCTGGACCCAGCAGCCAGGTATAGGGAAATCCATGCTCATGCTGGGTTTCTGGATTTTTGAGGTGCACGTGGGCTCCGGTTTTGCCCTAGTGGCCTGTGAGCTCTCCGGGCGGGTCACTGCCCCTCCGGTGTTCAGGCGCTTTCCTTGGGGACAGGAGGGCGAAGAGGGTGCTTGACCTGTGGGGACATTCCAGAGCCTCCTTCCTGCTCCAGCGGTTCAGGCCCACAGTGCTCTTACACTCAGGTGTGCGCGCCCTGTGTTCACAGGTATTTTAGAATGGACCCTTCCGCAGCCCATTTTCTCATTGAGACTCACGAGAACACCTCCGGGCTTTGGTCCATATGGTACCACAACCATTTTGACCGCCGCCTTGTAGTGAATCATGTGTTTGTTTCCAAGGACGCCAGAGACGTTGTGAAGGTACAGAGAAAAACCAGCCATGTTTTACTCCATTTCAGGCCTTGTTGAAGGTCAGGTGCTATGAAATTAGACAGTTTAATTTTAAGATGCTTTTTTTTTTTTTAAACAAGCCTTTTTTTTTTCCCCCCAAAAGATTTATTTAGTGATGCATATAGAGCTGGGGTTCAGGCCAGAGGTGCAGGGTGGTGAGAGGGTTCACCAGACACAGAGTGGGGAGCAGAACAGGCAGATCAAAGAAGCACACTGCTAGGGGGTGCAGTGGGCGTGTCAGGAGAGGTCTGCTGCGTCATGTGGGTCAGCTCCGGGGTGGGGATCAAACTTGCACTCAAGTGGCTGAAACTAGCGGCTCATGAAATAGGATGTGGAATATAAAAATTTGAAGTATAAAATATTCCCTTAAATATAAACGCATTTCTATCTTTGTCCTGATAATCATCCTGAATAAAATTATGATTTTCAAAATACAGGACACTTTGAATGTATCATACTTTATAACAATTTTAATCATGATTAGTGTTAGGAGAAGTAATTTTTCTTGCTTCTTTTCTTTTTAGATTCTGAATTTCACTGGCCCTTTATTTCTACCTCCAGGCTGTTGGAATATATTTTCTTTGAAACTTGCTGTTAAAGACATGGCCATAAACCTATTTACCCATGTATTTTTGACTACAAACATAGGTGCTACTTTTGCAATACCTCTACAGATTTACTCTGCACAGACTAAGGTATTCTTTACAACACTATTGTGATGCAGTTTTTGTAATTTGCTGTTTTTTTCTTTTTATTAAATTGTCTTACGCTTCTGTTTCATTGGCTCACCTCATGTGTCCAAGAAATTGAAGGCTATAACTAGGCCAGTCTTAGATGATAAATTGTTTCACTATGAAAATCTTTGGAAAGAGTCTTTGATTTCCGTAATTTGAGGTTCTTGAATGACCTAAAGTATTTCAAGTATATTGATTTTATTTTTATTTATTTCCAAAGAATATGTGCTTGCTGTAGTAAGCAGTCAGGCTTTTAGTACATACTTAAAATGACGTCAAATAAAACAGACTGTTAAATGCTTTCTTTAAATTTCTCGTAAGTGACTCTCAATGATCATTATCCTTGAATGTGTCAAATCTAAAGCCTGCAGAGGTTCTCAGTTAAGAAAATGCTTTCTAAAAATCTGGGCAAATTGTATGTAGTTCAGATCTTATCTCAAAGTGTCTCATTTTTTTTCTTAATGTTTATTTCTTTTCATTTAATTACTGTTATTGCGTCTTTTTGACCTAAGCTATTCCGTATGACGTTGGATTCTAATTTTTCACTAAGAGACATTCATGCAACCATCTTTATGATTTTTCTCACTTATGAATGTTGCCGTTTCACAGTTTGAAGTGCCTTGTGTTTGGCTATAAGCTTAAAGCTTAAAATTAAACTTAGCAAAATGCAAGGTCACTTCCAGTCATCTATATTTTAAGATGGAGAGATTGCTTGGAAATGTCCCTTTCCCCATCAAGAGATGCCCGTGTGAGTGACCCTGCGAGGGAGCAGGGAGATTGTAGGACTGGCCAGCGTGGCGAGTCTCTGCTTTCCAGACCTGTCGGAAATGGCACGTTAATTTAAGCGTCCACGGGGTTCAGCTATTAGCATAGACGGGCATACTATTTCTCAGAGATTTAGAGTATGGTGTTAAAAAAAAAAAAACTACTACTAAGAATGTTCTCAGATTAATCTCCAACTCAGAAGGCAGCTGACTATTTCCTTAGCCCACGGTTGTCGTGGCCAGCATTGATTGTACAGAATCCATGGTGACCCTTCCCGCTAGAGGAAGTCCAGCTCTCATCTGAGGAAGCCAGGACGTTACTTTCTAGTTCTCTGGTGTTGGTTGAAGGGGAGTTCACTGAGATGGCCAGTGTCTGCTTCACATTTGAGTGCATTAGGATATTTGTGTGTAGTGTTGTATTTTAAGTTATTCATATATTACTTTTCAATCTAGGAAGGGAGTCTGGGTTTTGAAGTGATAGCACATTGTGGCATGCATTATTTCATGGGAAAATCAAAAGCAGGTAAGTATTTTGCCCTGAGGCTTTCTATAGAATTTTAGTTGGGGATTGGGCGGGAAGTAGTAAGGAAAAACAGTATTTGTAGGTGGGATAATTAGTGCCGTAAACATAATTGTGCCCTACTCTGTTGTTGGAGAGTCTGATCATTGACAGAGCGAATTGAAATTGTTATGAATCCTCCAAACACATCTGAAGTACTTGTGTAAATAATGTCGCCTGTACTTTTAGAGGGGATTTTTTTTGTTTCCTGTCAAAACACATTTTGGATCACCAGAGCAGCCTTTTGCCAGAAAAACTTGGAAGGTTTTAGTTCTTTTTTAAAAGGACTAGAGGTTAGTATAAAAATTTGGACTTGCATTTGGAGACTTTAGTTACAGGAGCATAAACATCTCACCAGGGAGGCAGCTGTGTGAGACTGAAGACCATCACGATGATCTAGAAGCTGTTTTCCGCGAGTTTTGATTTATTAAGATATTTAACCTAACCAAGTGAAATCTAAGGATAATATAGCGATTGCTTCTGGAAGATTCCAATGCTTCCATCCTGATAGCCTCTAGCACAGACAGAGCAGAGAGGGCATTGTAAGAGTCCTCCAGGTTGTAAGCCTTCACCTGTTGATGGCCTGGCTGTCTCCGTCCATCTCTGAGGAAGGCGTTGGGCTGGAAGCACCCCACTGAGTGACCCAGGAGACCCAGCCTGTGACTCCACCTTTTAGATTTAAAGCTTTTAAAAATGTTCCAAGTATAATTTTAACTTGCTTCAGGCTGTATTCATGAGCCATGTGTCTTTTATGTTAATACCTTTACATAATTCAGTTTAGTTTTGTTTTATACATGTTTGTTTGAGTTGATATATCATTTGCCATCAAGTTAGAGGGACTGACAGGGAAGCAGCGGAAGGGACATTTATTACTGCACAGTCACCTTGGGAGAAACTTAAACAATCAGCCCTGGGTGTTAAAACTGTCGGATTATGTTTTCCGTAAACTTAAAGATCAACTCTGATCTAACTTCTAGAAAATCCTGACTGGGAAAGGAGCCTTTCTCTGGATTGGTCTACCTGGGATGTGGATTCTGAACTTGCAAATAAATTGTATGAAAAGTGGAAGAAATTTAAAAATGGTGATGTCTGCAAGTAAGTCTTGACCCTCTGTCATAACTTTTACTCAGCATTGGGGAGACACCATTACATGATACAGTACTGAATTTTGAATAATTATTTCTCATCTGATTCTTCATTTGTTCACATATTACCATGTTTGCTAATTTCTCTCTTTAGCTCTAAGTATGTATATGCACAGTTTTTCCCCCAAGTCATTGGAAAGCAAGCTATAGATACATGATCTTTCACCCCTCAGTACTTTTTTAGGAAATAAATAATTTATTTCCTGAGAAGGATATTCTCCTTCATAGAAATCCATTGCTGTAACTAAACCCAATGAAGTTCACACTGATCTAATTGTATTATTTGAGAAGTCCATATTCACAATTCCATAACTGACCCCAAATGTCAAAGCTGTTTTTTTCTTTTTAAATTTTCCTTCTTTTCATTCAGAATCCATTCAAGAGGTACTGTATTTGGATCTTTAACTTTCTTTAAGTCATTGTCCCCCAAGGTTCATCTTTCTTAGTACTCACATTGAAAGTGCCCCCTCAAATGACTTAGAGGAAACCTGACACTTGTGTTTTTGGATCGATGCTCAAGTTTCCACTTGTGTTCATTGTGTGGGGAAGCGTACCACTCACCAGCTGGGCTTGTGCTCTTTTTCTTAGATTTATCTATTTATGCACACTGGGGGGCAGGCCAGAGGTGCAGGGGCAGTGACAGGATTCACAGAGTGGGGAGCAGAACAGGCTGACTGATGAAGTGCACTGCTGAGGGGAGCAGCGGGCGGGTCAGGAGAGGTCTGTGGCACCATGTGGGTCACCTCCGGGGCAGGAGATTGAACTCATGCAGAAGTGGCTGCAACCAGCTTGCAGTGCTGCGTCCTAATCCGCTGCACCACCAGGGAGGCCCGTGCTTGTGTTCCTGCCGCTGCCCCAGCTCGAAGGGAAGCGCACAGCCACTGTGCTGCTTTGCTACACTGAGCCGTGTGGGCCTAGCTGACACGGGGCAGGTGTCTTCCACCGTGGCACCTCCTGCCTCTGGGAGTGAGTCGGTCATCTGGGCCGTGATGGGGGCGCACACACGCCCCGTGTCTGCCCCCCACTTCACTTGTACTGACACCCCTCCCTGAGGCGTAGTTAGCTAGATGGCTGCAAAACGGGCATGCTTCTCATGATTTTACTCACTCTGTTATTCGCTATCATCTGTTACCATCATCATTACTATCGATGCTAAATTGTTTCAGACTTGCCGGGTGGCAGCCCCTCCAGCTAGCGTGGGGGCCTTTTAGCATATTCCCATCTTTCCTTGAGTTCTTTCTTCCTTGTTTTCTAGCAAAACATGTCCCGGGATCATCTTGTACTTCCCCAGACCTATGATTTTTTATTTTTCCCTAAGAAACTGTGTCCTTTTAATGAGTAATATTTTGCAATGCCTTTTTTTTTTTTTAAAAAAAGATTTATTTATTTGTGCATACAGAACTGGGGTACAGGCCAGAGGCTCAGGGGCAATGAGAGGCTTCACCAGAGACAGTGGGGAACAGAACAGGCAGATCAACGAAGTGTACTGCTGAGGGGAGCAGCGGGCGGGTCAGGAGAGGTCTGCCTCGCCATGTGGTCACCTCCGGGGCAGGCGGGAATCGAACTCATGCGGAAGCAGCTTTAGATTCTCAGTGCTGTGCTTTAACCCGCTGCGCCACCAGGGAGGGCCCGCGATGCCCTTTTTAAAGTGAAATTTGTGTCGTGTTTTTTTTATCAATTACACAGGAGGAATGTTCTAGGAACAACTCGCTATGCCCATTTGAAGAAACCCAAGGAGTCCGACGCCTTTGTCTCCTTTCTGCCACGTTTGCTAACAGAGCCTGGACTTCTGCTAAACTTCAGTGCCACCGCGCTCAGGAACAGTGCGGTGAGGACTGTGTGTGGCCTGTCACTGTGGCCCCAGCTCCAGGGCGTTTGAAGTTACCAGAGTCTTTCCACCCTGAGACATGTATCAGAGCCCAAAGTCATTTAAATTCATTTCAAGTGACACATGTGCCAGTCAGCTCTGGGAGTAGGGAGGTGTGAAAAGAACAAAGAGAGGAAAGTAAGTAGGCTGAAAACGCTTCAGGCAAACACATTATGAAATTTTGGATTCAAACCAGAATCTTAAGCTTGCAACTGCAGATAACAGGGAGAATCTTGTCGAATGCAGGCCAAGGTGGGAGTTCGCACAGCCCCGGACCTGGCCTGGATATGCACCCACAGGCCTTTAGTCCTGGTTGGATGTCCTACAGGTCTCTTCCCGGCATCAATGGGGCGCATTCTGCACAGTGGCTATGTCTAGCGACCACCCCTGTGTGGGGGGGCCTGTGTGGGGGGGTGATGGGGACCAAACCATGTTACCCGGCCCATGAAGGTCTTTTTTTTTTTAAGATTTATTTGTGCATACAGAACTGGGGTACAGGCCAGAGGTGCAGTGAGAGGACTCACCAGAGACAGAGTGGGGAGCAGAACATGCCGAATGAGGAAGCACACTGCTGAGGGGAGCAGCGGGCGGGTCAGGAGAGGTCTGCCAGCCATGTGGTCACCTCCGGGGCAGGCGGGAATCGAACTCATGCTGAAGCGGCTCTAGCTTCTCAGTGCTGTGCTTTAACCCGCTGCGCCACCAGGGAGGGCCCCGACTGCCCCCTCGCTCCACACACTTGCATTTTGACACCTTCGAGACCCATTTAACCGCTGCTCTGTCCAGTTGCTAAAACAAGAGCATCTTCTTACACACCGGCGTGTAAAGGGCACTCAGAAAGTGCGGCATTAGCGCGTCATGTTCTCCGAACAGTCGTCCACCGTGGCTTTTCTCACTTACCTCACTAACACACTTGACAGTGACCTTTTCTTTTTCCTGGTCCAGCATCCTATCCAGGACCTTCTCAGGCCCTGAGCCCTCTGCCTTCCATGGCATGGACAGGCAATAGCTCTTCCAGGGCATCCCTCCGTCTCAGCCGTGGGCGGCTGTCTGGGGATCAGGCGGGGCTGGAGGTGTTTCCGGGCAGGACGCGGCTTCCTTCCTGCGTCCTGACGCCCCTCTCCCATGTCTAGGTGAAGTACTTCGTAGTGAAGAACCCCTCCTCCTCGCTGGTCTCCCTGCAGCTCCTGCCTCTCTCTTTGTACCCGCAGCGGGAAGCTGCTGTACGCTTACTGCACAAATGGTGAGAAGCCAAGCAGTGTGGATTCTCGGCGGGGTGGTTTGGGAAACACCCCGACGCAGACGTATTTCAGGTCCTTCCCTCTTCACGGGGACCAGTGTGGGGGTGGGCACAGCACGAACCCGCGTCCCAACCAGCCCCCCGCCCGGTGCATGTAACATGCTGAAAGCTGTCAGTTCTGTGTGCGATGTGCCCTCCTGAGTCCGTGGTCAAGGTCAGCTCCCGGGAGTATTCGTTTCTTGGGTCAGAGAGTCTTGGCCATCATGGTGGCTCGAATCTGTTCCTAAAATTGAGTATCCAAATCATGGTGAGCTGGGACAGCACAAGAAATGAGTGTTTTCTTATTTATTTTTCTATGTATGTATGTGTTTGCTTATTTATTAATCATATGTCTTCATGCTGTGTTGTTCAGCCAGATAAATGATAGTTTCATGCTGGGGTGTCTTACTGAGCCATCACAGGTTCCCCGCACTGTTCCTCGGCATCAGCACCGCCGGCCCCTGGGGCCGGAGGGATCCTTCTGGGGCTGTGAGGGCTGTCGCGTGCCTATGGACTGTTGAGCAGCGCCCCTGTCTCCCCCAGTAGATGCCTGTAGGACCTCCCCAGCGGTGGCAACTAAAAATGTCTCCAGACAGCACCAGATGTCCCCTGGGGGATATTTCCCTGGGTTGAGAGTCACAGTCTATCATGTTCTGTAACTGTGAACAATTTTAGGGGAATATTTCTTTATTTTAGAGTTTTTGTCACCGTGCACGTCTTTGCATTCTGCGCTACCAAATCATGCCCTCAGCAGGCAGCTCCCGAGTCCTGGGAGTGTGGTGGGTACAGCCCCAGGGCCTGGGCGGCAGCAGGACAGACAGGTGAATGGCTTGTGTGTGTGGACACGTGGGCTTGCACTAAACACAAATAAGGGAATGTTCACACGCATGAGTCACTCCTTCTCTGTTGGTAACATTTTTGTTTTCTTTATAGGTTTGGCACCGACATGCAGGTGATTAATTTCACAACGGGTGAATTCCAGCTCACCAAGGCTTGCCCTTACCGGGTAGGGTGTCTTTATAAACAGAAAAGAGCAAGCTGAGAAACTAGACACACCAGCATATGGGCCTCAGTGATTCATGTTTCAAATGTCTGTATGAAATAGATGTGGCTCACATGTTTCTGCTCTAGGTAGAAAGTCTACCTAGCAGGTTTTTCCAATTAACTAATGCAGCAGGAATCCCTGGTTCACGTTAGCCTGTAAATCATTTTAATTAGAGGACTTAGACTCACGTGAGTGAAGAAATAACGATTGAATGAGCATTATATAGAAAACCATAAAACTCGAGGCCTCAGAATTTATAATTCTCTTCAGATTCCTTAGCCCCATCAAATTCTTTTTAGGGCAAGATGAGGTAAAAGCAGATGCTTTGATTTTTTTTTTAAGATTTATATATTTATGCATGCAAGAACTGGGGTACAGACCAGATGTGTGTGGGGTGGTGGTGAGAGGATTCACCAGGGACAGAGTGGGGATTAGAACAGGCAGATACACAAGATACACAGCTGAGGGGAGCAGCAGGCAGGTCAGAAGTGGTCTCCCATGCCATGTGGGCCAGCTCCCTGCCCGGGATTGAACTCATGCTGCCGTGGCTGTGGACCACTTCATAGTGCTATGCATTAATCCCTTGTGCTGCTAGGGAAGCCCCAAATGTGTTTTTAAAGAAAGACCAACATTTTTATTGTGTTGATTTGCCTTTAGAATTTATGTAGTTCCTTTGGTTAAGAGCATCTAGGGTTGAGCATTGAAGGTTCTGGATCCTGGCTTTTTTACCTTCTAGTTATGTGGCCTGGGCAAAACCATCCTTTTAAAGCTTCTTTCTCACTCATAATAATGCTTCCCAATTCAACAAGGTCTTGTAGAATACACAGCTTTTTCTCTACCTTAATTTCATTCCTGGTACTTGTAGTTTTAACACCCCAAACCTTCAGCTTTTTATGTGATGCTATTACTGCGTGGACAGAGCGGATCCTCACGCTGACAGCTGTGACCTCTGTGAACAAAGATCCAGAACAGACTCAGTGCCATCACTGTTTCTTCTTACAGTCAGTGGGGAAGAGGTGCCTGTATGGAAAGGTACCACAAATGGAAAACCTAAAGATGTAGCCAAAAGGACAACTGTGTAGTCTGTGTGGTTATACCACTAGAAGTTAATAAAAATACATTTCCAGTGAGAGAAAGCAAGAAAAAGTGATAGAAAGAGAAGAAATGATAAAGAACTAAATCTTGAAGGTTAAATCTAGAACCAAAACTATTCAAAGGAAGTTGGAAATCTTGGCGCGACTCAAAGGGGATGTGACTGAGCAAAGGTCTTCCTGACTGGAAGAACTAGATGTCCCCAAGGTGTTTCTGTGTAAACATTTGTTCAACACTAAGGAGAATTAGAGCTGTTCCACAGTGGGAGCTGGTGTGGCCAGATCCCCGCAGCGTCAAGCTGTCTGCTCTGTTCTCTAGGTGATGCTTCACTTTCAAGCATCTTTGCCTTAATGCCTCTGGCCTCAACTCACACCCAAGTCAGGAAGCTTCCAGCCCCCAGGTCAGGTGGTCCCTCTGTACGGCTCAGCCACTTGGGAGCTGATGACTGCTGTACACCCAGGAAGCAAGTTCAGCAGGTTGACCAGGATGGACCCATTTGGACTTTGCGTGAAAAGCATTCGCTGTCCTCTACTCAGATACGATCACTACAGGCCGAGGCCAGCTCTCCCAGAGCTGACTAACTGCTCTTGTTGATGGCCTGCAGGGTGTACGCACGGACGAACAAAGGTCTGGCATCCTCCACTTACACTTGCAGCCTTTGGAAGTGCGAAGGGTCGGT